GGGGGGGGTTTGGGGGTTTTTTGTTTTTGCTTTGTTTTTATTATTTTGGGGTGAAGGGTTAACAGCAATGGGGCAAACATGAGCACAAGAAATGAACATCGATTCTCCACCCGCCTTTGCTTTAAGAGTCATCTCGTGGAAAAGTGAATATCGAAGTGTAACATACTACCAATACTTATTCAGGTCATTCCAAGGATAGGCTTCTCGTCCGAACGTTTGGATGCTGGACTGAGGGGAACGATAGAGTTTTTTGTAAAGAACTAGAAAAATGTTGGCTCCTCTTCTAGTTCCATTCCACAACGTCTGCGTGATGGCTTAAGCTTGTTATACAACCGCGCCACAGTCTCCGTCAATCCTCTCACGGGGATTTCAAAATCTCCAGCTCTCGGAGTTTTTCCCCTCACTCCTCACTTTCTTTTTGCACTTACGAGTGCCTGTTCTTTCAAACTCTCCGGGGGTTTTTTCAACGTCCCTGGTCCCCTTATTACCATTTTAAATAGAACAATACATTTCGAACCCTACTAAGATGAATTAATTTCTTTAAAAACAACCGAACCTGAACGTACATTCTCAATCAAAACACTCCGCTACGCCTGATCGAAGGCAGACCTTATAATGTTTGAAAACTTCTGACAATAATTAAAGAATGACAGAAAACTGCGCTCTGGAGCAGAAAGCGCAGGAATCTGTGTCGACACTTTCTACGAAAGTCTAAGGCCGATTGTTTGAGAGCTGAAAACCTCCGTTGTAGCCAGTGCTCAATTTGCATGTCCATTGATCCTTGCAATTCCCGACAACTAAGAGTAGAGCTTTGATTCTACGTGTCAAAGTACATACAATGACGCTTTTAAATAGGTGAGCTGAATAACATTTTTACTGGATCTTTAAGAAAGCTTTGTTGTTGCAAAGCAAATGCTGGTGGGTTTTTTTTGTGAAACAGTTTTACTCGATACAAAACAATCCGTATATTATGTAACCACTATAGCTGGTGTTTGGGTTCGTTAGCTATTACTCTTGACAAAGTTTAACTAATCCATAAAATTCAGGTTTGGCCTTTCCAGACAAAACTTTTATCATTATCACCATTTTCTACTTCATCATCATCATCATCATCATCATCATCATCATCATCATCATCATCATCATCACCATCATCATCATCATCATCATCGTTGTCTTCCTAATCCACATCAACTTTAAAAAGGAGACGTTATATACGAAAAATGGATAATACGCATTATCATCAGCGACAGCAATAACAACAACAACAACAACAACAACAACAACAACAACAACAACAACAACAACAACAACAACAACAACAACAACATAAACTGCAACAGTACCAAAAACAAAAACAACAAATACAACAAAAGCCACAGCAAACAATAACACACAACTGTAACTCAAAAATCTGTACTGTCAGTCATCTAACTACAAATACACTGTGTCTATAAAGTATAGCAATATCGCTATAACTTGCCATGTCCACTCCATGGTATACGATAGAACACACTAACACATTATTTCTTTCCACCACAGGATGAGGACCCGAACTATGACGCGGACAAACACGATTTCCTCATCCACCAGCTGGATCTGTACAAGGCTCTTTGTTATGTAAGTCACTATTGCTGACAGAAAGGTCTTACTTTACTTTACTTTACTTTACTTTACGTTACTTTACGTTACTTTACTTTACTTTACTTTACGTTACTTTACGTTACTTTACGTTACTTTACGTTACTTTACGTTACTTTACTTTACTTTACGTTACGTTACTTTACTTTACTTTACTTTACTTTACTTTACGTTATTTTACTTTACTTTACTTTACTTTACTTTACTTTACTTTACTTTACTTTACTTTACTTTACTTTGCTTTACTTTGCTTTACTTCACTTTATCCGTCCTCTTGTACCTTTTGGGCGTCGAGGGGAGAAAAAGCTACCTGTCTCTAGCAAGTTTGATGACCTGGCTAGCTAAGATATTGAATGTTCTCAGGGTATCCTTCACACCCTGGATCCAGGTCTTTCTTGGTCTTCCTCTTGCTTTGTACCCTGATACTTTCCTGTAGTAGGCTTTACTGGCAAGCTGGTTTGGGGCCATACGTGCGAGAAAGAGACAATATCTGTAGTTTCTGGGACATTTTAAATGGCTGAAAGGCCTTGAACATCTAGATCTAGCTCTCACGGGCAAAACGAAGCAGGGGTAGACACAGAGCAAACTAACTGTTGTTGCGTTTTGCGTTTGTCTGTTATTTAATAGGGGTTTTTTGTGTTTAGTGAGGGGGGGGGGGGGGGGGGGGGGGGTTTG